AAAGGCGTAAGTGAAATTCCAGTTTGACAGATAGATTTAATTTATGCGAAGCAAAAACTGAGGAAGCAGTGACGGACAACGATAAGTGAAACAATACGCAGGTCTATTAAAGGTACGAACGAAAGGGTTAATCGAGTTCGGTCCGTGATATGTTAAAAACCAATCTGGTGCTACATAAAAGCGGCATGATCCGATGTATAGCAAGGAGGGAAATGAGATCTACAAATAAAACAAATTACAAAACATTCATTGATATCAAGAGTTGAAGCGAGTCTGTTATTCGTGATCCGGAACACACAGAACAGCACTATAGGGGGAACTGCAACTAGAACTCACCATCTTTTAGTCTCTCGATATGTAGGGCATCATCAATATCTTTGGCACTAGGCGGATCAATCGTGAAAACACACCGCGAACGAAAATCTTTTCGATACGTGTACTCCGCTGGAGGAATAATAAAGTGATCAGGATGTTCCGGTAGACCTTGGATATGCTGACGGGAATAAATAGGAGGGAGAAAACAATAGAACTAATCCATTTATTCACGAAAACCAGCATACATTCCGTGCAAGCAGTGCCAGAACCGAACCCCAAATTCGTTAAGGCCAACTTTTCATAATTGGAAACCGCCAACTTAAACTCTTGAGCTTAAAGTGATGAATCATACGAAACATCAGAATCATGGCCGTGATGTAAAACCGGATCACATTGAAGCTATCTACTGTCAAGGATCAATTAGTTCCCGATCATTTTCACCGACTGAGACGACAGCCCAAATCCAACACCCAGCTCGGAGAAATGGGACTGAACTTTATTTGGTAAATGCAGATTAAGAGAAGCCATTCACTGTATACAGTCATAGTGGTGAAAAACTATCGTACATTCAATTTAGATGAAATATCGTTCTGATAGGACTACCGCAGTACTGAGACACGCGCCAAGATAAGAATAATAGGATCAGACCCAGAAAGGCGAATTCCAAGCAAATAGTACATGCCAATATGTCACAAAAAGATTCTACCGCATTGTACTACTTGTGTATCACGTGTAACGGTATCCTCCAGTAAAAAGGTTTTTCTCGAACTACCGAAGCCGGTGGACAACTCAAATTTCAAAAGAAAAATGAGCGGAATTTATATTGGGCAGTTCAAACGACACCCAGAATAATCTGACCAACATGGTGAAGATTTTTATCGACAGCAGCCAGTATCAAGTGAATCCCGTGATCGGTGAACAGGAAACGTACCTCCGGCCGGAATTCTTTCTCTTCTATCCCATATTCTATTAGAATTTTTTGTGTGGCCGGTTCCAGTTCGTTCATATCGCCCAGTTGTTCACAAAGCACTCTAGAAGAGTGGGAAAACAGTAATCGCTGAGAGAGAACTCAAGGAAGAGTACAGAAGGATACAAAATAAGTTATCAAAAACCTTGTACAACAAAAATGAACAATAGTTTGATAAGTTACTTGATGATCAAATAGGTGGCACCGTCGCGTTCCATTTATGTGCTGCCCGGCTCGATCCCCAATTGTGATCCTAAAGGGGACTCAACCAGGTCAAAGTAGCCATACAATGATTGGATTGAGTTCACTCTTTGTTTGTTCTGTATGCGATGAAATTCATCATCCGGATCGTACGGCGAGACACAGAGAAGGGAACCTTGCTGATCTTTGCCAAGGTCACAATGCATACAAAGCAAGTGCAAACGTTGAAGTTGAATAAAGTTTACAGTTGAGTGTTTAAAGCTCCTGACAACGTCGGTATCAGCTAACTAACCATAGGTGTAGCTCACTAAACAAGTTGTCTTTCCAAAATAAGACGCAGTGCAAGTATATCACATAACATGGCTGTCATACTGCTCTTTTATTCTAATGACCTAGATTGCCACTTCGTTAGGTTCCATGCGCACAGAACCCAACGAAACCTACCGCGCTAGGGCTTAAGTTAAATTAAATAGTTAAGCTGCTACCAACAAATAATTACTGAGCGACATAGAAGGAGAGTGCTAGCACCGAAAAGTCCTGCGAGACTGCAAACGTCCATCTTCAAAGAGCACTCACTGATAACAAGACCTAAATTCCATAACCTATCGGTTTACAGATACAATTTACTCTTCACTGCCGTTCAAACAGCGACTAAGATTATTCGACATTGCTGCTAACCACGGCATCAATTGTCCGATCGTGCCACTAAAGTTGCACAATGCAGAGTAGTCAGGGCCCTAAAATTCAGCATTCATCTTCGACTCGCAACACGATAAAGATAGAATATAGGTGTTTGAACACCGCTGTCTACGCAGCATTGTACGAATCCAGTGGGGCAGCCGGAAAAGCAATGTTAAGGTTGGGTATAGAGTCTTAGGTAATCGCGGTCGCCCACTGCAGTAGGTGATCAACCTCTGTAGATTACGTTGGTTTGGGCATGTGTTACGCATGTCACCAAATAGGTTTCCACGGCGAGCGATGTTCGCCGAGGCAGGTAGTGAGGGGAATAAAGCCAAGGGTGGTCAACCTAAGACCTGGCACGAGGGTATGAAAACCCTAACCAGGAGACTAGGTTGCTTAGGTTCCATTAGGATCCTTGGCTCGGGACCTCGGGGTGATCGTACCCAATAGTTAGAGACATTGAGGGATATGGTTGAGTGTCGTAAACAGTGTCGTTCGTGCATCTTCTCAATTTCTTTGCTACCATAGACCACTGAAACTATTCATTTTCTGGTCGACTCTGCTTTTAACCTTCCTGTCTCCCTACTATTCTTCATCCAAATGGGCAGCCAAAAGACAGCAACCAAAACCGAGGCACGAAGATGCATGGTTAATGGTTGTACAAACCGAAAACTGAAAACTCGCAACCAATTGCATGTGGCCTTGGGTGACAAAAACGGATGAACTAGCAACAATGCCCCCGTCCCTATTCTCATCGACGTCCCGAAGATATAAATGGTAGAAGCGTAGTTTGCACAAAAGGGAACATGTTAACGCACAGGCCGGCAAAACATTCTATTTCATCACCAGGGTAACTTCCGTCTCTTCTAAAGCGTGACTCAAAGCGAGTGCCAAAGAATGAATAAGGACTCGGTGCCAAGCCAATGACAAGACATATTTTGCCGATAATTTAGTCTACCTGGAGATTACATTGATCGGTGGCTTAACCTTACACCTAATACACAAATAAGGATATGGGTGCAAACGATATTGAATGGAGAATTTTACTCTGACACTTCAAGTACTTCACGTTGGAAGGAGGCGCGCAGAATGAAAGTTGAAACGGTAAACGGATGCTTAACGTGGTATAGTCCAATGCGAATTTCAATAGCAGTCGCTCACTCACCCACTTGGTATATTCATTCGATTGTTCCATCCGGTAATGGAACAAATATAATTCATTTTTGATCCAAGTGCACTATTTTCCAAAACGGCTACAACATGATACCAAAAAAGCGGAGGTGAGTGGGACGAGGAATGATAGTAAAAATAATTTACAGTGATCGATGCTACAGATGACGGCAGATAATCAGATATGGAACAGAAGTTGATTTATTTTCGTGGAATCCAGACGGATGACAGTAACATACACCCAAGAATTTTGCGATGCATACCTGCAGTACAAACGGTTTTCCAAGAGTAGACAGAGAAACAAAATCGACAGTTAGACTACGACAAAACTCTCTGCATATGAGATGCCAAGTGAGTTCAGTATAATTACAGAATGAGGGTCAACTCAAGCATTATCCACAAGAGAGTATGGATCAAAACAATCGGATATTAATTCTTTGTTTTGGATAAGTGAAACGGAACACTGAATCATAAAGACAGACAAGAGACTGCAGAGCAAGAAAACTCAGCAGTGATTACCTTTTGGAATACTGCGCGGATCAAGCTTGACGAGGGCATGGTGCGTCGAGTTGGGGACGAATAAACAGATCGCACTATCCGTGGGTGCGTCAGATGGAAGTGGAACCGTTTTTCTTGTAATTCGACCGACATGTGGACGAAAAAAGGCTATCTGTCCGATTAGTCGACGACTGCGGGGATCTTTTCTGGCAATCGAAATCACCTGACCCGTTCGAATTAGGCTTTGACTGGGCAACGGAGCCCATACCATAGGTGGGGAGGATAGATTCAGATTCCATGGCAAATCCAAAGGCCAGGAACAATTCGGATCAAATGTCAACTCATCCAGAGTACGATACATGAATAGATCACGAAATTTACTTGGGAGACGATAGAAATCCTCAGCACTGGGGGGCCGTGTTGAACCGGCTTCACTGAAATCCAGATCTAATGTGTCTTCGGCTGAGGCAGTAGAATCGGAATCGGGAAACTCAGCGAGGGCGGTGGAAGAGGTTGTTTCTCCTTCACTCAAGGATTTATCCATGTCACGTGATGGGCATGTGCCAGAAACCTGGGGCAATTAGGTTGAAATAGTGGTATAGTAGATGTCTGTCGCAGCGGCCCGAGGAGACTAACACAGAAAAAACTTAGACTTCGTGATTCGCGAAAAACAGATTTGACAGACGACGAAATCCGGTTTACCATGTACTGATGAGACTGAAATTTAAAATTCAGTCAAATCGTTGTCACATTCTCAGTTGGCTACAGATGAGAAATCTTCTTCCACCAAAAACACGAAATTGGTAGCACCTCGAGGAAAACATAATATTCCCTTACAGCATTCTTTCTGTTTCAAAGATTGATTCGGGTTATGTGATGGTGAACTCACGCTAAGGAGCTCAAAGATTTTCGCTGATACAACATGAAGCTCTGAATAAGCAATCCTAGCATCCATCCAGGCAGATAACAAAGATGCAACTATCTTGGGATTATCGTTAATCGGATTCAAACACGAGACGACTGAAGACGATTGAAGCCTCACCGACTGCATGTTTACTCATTGAAAGATCATAGGAGATATGCATACAGAACACTCATGCACTCCTGTTCGTCTACCACCTTCTAAAACCTATCGTCGGTTTTTTTAGACAGCATTGATTACTCTCGAAACGGGTGCATGACAAACTCATCCACATTAATTCTTCATTACATATTGTTTATAGAACCCGGATCTGGATCTTCCACAGTGTTCTACTCGGGCCCACCACTAGGAGTGAGATGCGCAAGGATGGCAATCTATTTCATTCCCGTTGAAGATATGCAATCGCTGACAGCTACAGTAATGAGTTGCAGAACTGAAAATTGTCACTTCTCGATATTCAACTAAGGATGCAGTATAGTTGCATCAGCTGACGAAGAAAACTGCATTACACACTTTAGTTTCCTCTCCTAGGTCAATAGCGGGTCGACTAAAAGGATAAAACGCGTCGGAATGTCCATCATGTGACCACAGTTTGGAATCTCCTGATCAATCTGATGAAGTCAAACGGAGGAACACAATTATCAGTCGGAACCGTGACATCTCCATAATCCATGACGCCAGAACACGTGACCAACGGGCGGGTATGTTAAGTATCGAACTAAAGTTACTCACAGTTTGTCTATCAGCCATTTTTTCTAAATTATTATCGATATAAATTCGACGATTTTGTACTCCTGTTCGGAACCAAATAGAAAACAATTCAAATGAAATAGATGTACCATTGAACAATGATCGGATGGTATTTAGGAGCCTAAATCAGGATGCCCACAGGACCAGCACGATCTCATTGAACGACCATCAAAGTTTGCGACCAATTTTGTGGGGCTAGTAGTACAACGCTACCGCGACAAACAAAGCGGCGATTGGCAATGGGAGACGTATGATACATGTTTCTAGTGCCTCGGCCTATAATAAACGGGAAATTGCAAGAGTTGAACTTCGACTGACCGGTCTTTTCGAACAGAAAAAGCGCAAGGCTACAGATGAGTGTTGGGGAAATCGAAATGATTAGGGAAACTGTACGAAACGCAAACATGATTGCGGGGTAATAAAACACGCCATAAAAATTCGGATTATGCTATGTGCAACATTTCGGTTGTTAACATAGGAAACCGATATCAAAACATCGTCAGGATGCGAAAATGACAGATGAACAACAAGATGGGTTTACCTTCCACAAACCCATTGGATACAATCGGACCACCACAGTGTCCCCGTGGAGCGCCTGAGATCGATCGCGACCAAAAAGAACGACGCGCTTTTTATCCACCGGATGCTCCACGAAAGCCAGAGAAGGGGAGATCACACGTACCTGACCCTAAATACAGAAGTAAGCGACATGTAAAATTGAGAGAGAAAACATACTCTTCCGCTAGACCCTAGAATAGTAAATTAGAGACAAAATCTATAGTTCGATAAGCAGAAAAACTACATTTTCTCCTGACGAATAGAGAAACCGTTTAAAGGTGAATTGATGTTCCCAGCTCAATCAAGTGATACCATTCAGAGTAGCCGCCATACTACTGGCATACATCGCGCGCAGAAGATTCCGTGGATTAAACAGTACCGATAGGTAGCAATCAACTGACTTCGACCGACTCCGTTCTTGATCAAAAACAGCTAGCTGTTTGAGTTTATCCGAACACCACTTGATACCATTGTCTTTGACTTTCCCTGGGGCTATAGAGCCTTGAACAGAGACTAGTTCAAGATTTTGCAGTCTCTTCGAATCGCCAACATACAGACTTTTTCTTTCTAAAACACTTCAGTTAACCGCCTGAAAATCTGGTGGCCCACAAATCTCTTTTCAACCGGGACGTTTGTTGATCGTTTCTTAACTTCTAGATAAATAAAAATAGATGGATTTGTACTTTCCCTTTTTTATTTTAATGAAGAGGGGCGGTGGCCATACAAAGGCTGATTGAGAAGACGGGCGATGGCGAAGTGGTTCGAACCCGGGACTCCCAGGTAACAATTTGGTGACCCAAACACTTGGCCACCACCACCCGAAAAATAAATTAGCTTCACATTTGTGTAATCTTTCTTCCTTCGCGGTTTCACTTGCACCCCAAGAGACAATACTAACGACTTCTACTTCACCGTAATACATTTATTCACACCAGTCAAAGGTTTTCCGTTGGGCAAGTCAGAAATACTTCCCGCTCATAGGCGCATTAATCCGGTACAATGGGCCAGTCCGGAGAGAAAAACGTTTCAGTGACTTTATCGGTTGTCTTTGGCATTCTTTATGCATCATACATGGCGTCGCCCTAGCTATTATTAAATTTCAGTAGATTAGAGATCACTGAAACCGTGATTCAACGTCTCACCTGAACAGAGATTGTGAAACAGAACGCCACGAGTCAACACTGGTTTTTACGAACGAAATTTTGAGATCACCGTAGATTCTTACCCGACTGAAAACGGAGAACCAAGGTCAATTTCCTGCTAAGTAGCATCCTTAGGAAGTCGAACATTTCGATATGTTCCCTTTTCCTATTAAACCCAAACCAACCCTATACGTAATGAAATACCACTCAAAGTTACCCGTTCGGTATGTCCCAATTCCTGATAGCTGCTCACGTGATCGATGTGATAGGGAAAAGACCATTTTCCCTATAAAAGCAAATATTTCCCTTTTGTTTCTCTTATTTCTTTAATTATTTTTATACAATTCAGATTTCCGAATTTTGGGGCCGGAAAAGCCTCAAACCACACCACCAGTCATACTTTATTGTGATTGATCCATTCCTACATAACGCTCTGCTTTCAAGCTAATTTTGAAAGTCGTTTCTGGCTGATCCCCAAACCGTATAGAAACAAACGAGTTGCCCACAGCCTTCGCATTTTTGATCGAGCCAAATATACAACCTCGCCTGAAGGCCTGTCTTCCGTCTTCTCTCTGGCCGGGTTCGGGGATCGTACTACTTTTGAGAGGCGTTCTTCTGGTTATCTTGGGAATCACCCTGAGTACCGCAGTACTACGCCTACCCAGTACCAGACATTTCACTTGGATTCGATTACATGGTCCCATTAGAATGCGGCCTATTGCAACGATTTCAGCATTCGGTCGCGTATGTCTGATCTAGTCTCAATCGTGAGCAATCATATTTTCGTGATGTCAAAACAGCCCAAAACGTCGTGGACCATGGTGCCCGATATGATTGGCATGGTATTGAGTAGAACGACAGTGAAGCTATCTACCATCAAAATGCGGGAATTTTCGTATTTATACGAAGCACATAGGAACCATAGAGGGCGAGAATATGTCCAACATTAGATGATATGAATAAAAAAGATCAAATCATGGGATCGCCGTACCTGAAACGCGAGACCCTCTTTCATGAAGCGTTCTGCTTCTTCTGAACTGACCAGTGCAGAGGGAGTTGCCATGAATTTCTAAAACGGGAGAATCAGTAATAATTATACAGTTAATGTATTTATTTAGTGGAGGTAACTGGCCAAACGAATCCATGAATAAGTCTCATGGTAGACATATTTTTGGTTGCTGAAAACCTCATGGGAACCACTGTTTGGTTGGGCTAAATGTTGTTAACTTACCACTCATGTGATGTAACTTTGATGACACGACTGACCGTAGATAAAACCTCTACGGCGGAAAACGAATGAATAGACTGCGATAGATTACAGCAAGTAAACAATTACGCAAGTGTTTTCTGTGGCGCAAAATCGATTGCACGTACCGAATATCATCTTTGTACCTGACACGAATAAGGAAGTCTTTGAGGTTTAACGGATAGTTCTGGGTCGATACCAGTGTAAGACCGTTGTACGATTCAACTGTGGCCGAAAATGATGGAATAATCACAGGACTAAAGGAAATGGTACACGTGACAGAAAATGATCCCCTGGAGACAAAAGATTATTCTTTTCTACTAACAGCCGCATTGTGCCATGCGACACAGAAACACGACATATTACGCAATTCCAACGTGTACTCATTATCAGTAACGGTAAATGCGGATAACGTGCCATTTGTAATGTGTAGAGCACGCGTACTAGAGTACCAAGTAGCTGGACAGTCCTTTGTGCCCTGGTTCGAATCCTTGTGAGTTTGGTGGATGTGCAGTTATGATACTCAAATACACAAATACTCAACTTCAGCAAGAACGAATAGGTTGTGAAACGCTTCCAGGACTTTTCGGATTTTTCATAACCTACATCGGCCTCAGCGTTTACCAATGCTGTGAGATACTACTCACTTGTGAGTAGTAGGTAATATAGTTGGTGATTACTTTCGACGATGAAAGATGATCAAGACCACCAAAAGCAAATTGCTGTATCTCAGAGGTTAACAATCTTTTGCTACATTCATTACCCGTTGTGCGATCAGGAACTGCTATGGTAAGTTTCTGATGAGATTTTGTGTTATGTATGCCAAATTAGTGATGTTCCATCTGTAATCCTCAATAAACAACTATCCTCGATCGAGCACAGCCTTAAGAAACTACAGCACCAAGAAAGATCGGTATGTGCTCCAGAGTAAAAGCCGTGGAGCACAGATAGTATAAAACTAAAACCTTTCGAATACATCGAATAATATTGAGTTAAACTGACTATCCTTCGGACTTCACTTTAACAAACAATCTTCAGTTTATCCAGTCAACCATAAACTCGGATTTAGCTCTTATAGACCTCATCAGTAGTGCTTATTCGCTGTCCCATCTGGGATTTGAACCCCGGACCCATCGCACGAAAGATATATGTATTATCAACGTGTCAACCAGCTCATACCAGGGCTGAATCGAATTGTAATTTCATGTTTGTTCACGCGTAATCTTCAGGGATAGTCATGATAATGAGTTACTGCGTTTCAGTGTAATAGCAACTGTATCGGTGGATTTTTCGGCTTCCAGTGAAAATAACCCAGTCATTCGTTTCTTGACCCAAATTTATTTGTAAATCGCACAGTTCAAAATCTGTTTACATGTCTTTTCTTTTTTTCCTAAAAANAAAACTTTGGCCCATAAATGAAGTGGAAACATTACTAATCCCTTTAATGAATTCAAAATGCGAGGAAGTTTCACTGTGACAGAAAAATATCAGCTAAAAACAAATCGATTCCGATAAAAAGTCCGGAGGCAACAGGGGAACAACTGCACTCAGAGTTGCAAGCGGTGAATGATCCTTTTCAGGGGAGTTGGTTATTTAAACCAGGTTCAAGCTTGTTGTGACAAGTGTGTGAATGAAAGAAAGTAGGGATAAGGCAGTTAGCTTCAGTTGGTTATAAATAGTATGCACACTAAAGCTGTGCTGTCACGCCTTAGTGGACTGAAATTCCTTGGTAAATTAGTTCCGGTAGCTATACGCACGATATGGGCAGAACACGGCTACGGGCAGCAGAACAAAGTCCAATATAGTAGCAATGTTTATCGGCAGTGGTAGTAATCGTGGTTCTAAAAGCATACAGTAATAATAAGGCATAAAAAGTAACTTACAGCCAGGTGAGCAACCAAATTACGGGGCAGCAGTAACAGTTCGTGACAGCAATGGTAGGAACAAGGTCTACCCGGCAGACAGTCAAGCGTAACAGTAGCGCAGCAGTGAATTCAAATCGGAAGAGGTTGCGTTACGGTACGGAAAAGTCTTACAATACATTTTAGTTCCGGAATAAAGCGAAAGAGAAGTAAATTACAGTGGATTGGGGTGAAATGCAGTAAATGCTGGAACGTTAGGATGCAATACAAAGAAGCAGTTGTAATCAAAGGTATACGTATCAGAGGGCAGCATTGACAAAGACAGTAAACACAGCCAGCAAGTGTGTGTGGTTTAGGGGTAGCGCGTGTGCCGACCGGGGTGGGCTGCGGTTCGAGCCCCGCTGGTGACGGGCTTTTGCTCGCAGAAAAAGCGATCAGAAAAGTTTTATGCCAATGGGAAAACGCAACCTTATGAATACACAGGTAGAAATCACAGCATTAAATGTCCAGTAAATGTGCTATCAGAATATATAAATTCCATCAATATAGACGCCGTAGAATGCAAGAAACACGAAAGTGTAACTGTTGGGAAAATAAATACGGTACCATACTCATGGGTAGTCTAGTGGACACAAGGGAAGAAACATCTAATTACGAGTAGTAATTAACAAAAGCCAATGTAATAAGTTTTTTAAAACTCGTATAGCGTGCCTGGGCACTTGCGTTTTGCAGTCACTTCACGATTGAAAAGCCGAAAGAATGAAAGAACGAGGAGGAGCAAAAGCGTTTCGTTCTGTATGACCGGGGTCATGAAAAAATGTTCACTCAGGATAAAAAATGATATCTTTACGGTAGTAACAGATGATTACCGGCCGATTGTTGCCCAGTAAATTTTCAGCTATCAAAATGGGCATAACACGGACTAGAGTTTGGACAACACAAGATTATATTGTATTGTATTGTATTGTAAACAGATATGCCTAAATTTTAGTCAAAAACACTCGTAACTCCATCACAGATGAATACACAGAAGACCGAGAACGCATGCGAAACAAAGCGAAAAAGAGTTCGTTTAAACAGTCATCCGCACGCAGCTCAGTGGTAATAAAGAGAATGTGTGGGAAGTGAGACGGTTTGGCAGCAATATAGTTCATGGGAAGAAGCGAGACGCGTTTACTTGGAACACGGATCGACAGCCTATATATACACACAAAAGATGTATTCCAATCCATTACATCTTTTAGATAAAATCTTCGCTTGATTATTATTCTTATGGAAGCTGGCAATTATCGGATTGAAGCATTTTCAATTTATGGTAGCAAAAGGCTCACGGGGCAAACTCCGTTAGCAAATTCTGTTCTGCAGTTTGAGGGGGCCAATGTAAGCACATTGTGATGAAAAAACATTTGTTCCCAAACTGACATTTGACAAAAAATATGATCGTTGCTTATCATGATCGGTGGAAATTGAAAAAAAGTGCAGTCAAGTCCTAGGACAATGACACGAATAATGACAAACTCGCATAAAACTTACTTTGATCTTTTTCGATGTATTTGACTTCGACTGTTTGCTTGCATCTCGCAGGGGACGAAACACCGGATGTGATGATTGCAACAAACAGGTCATGGAGTAACTTGAGGACCTAGCAGTGCTAATACACGAAATCATTCGTACGGGACATGGACCGCCACCGTACTTAGCAAACAGAACTCCGCCGGAACAAAACAAGGCTGTCCGCCAGCGCNCGCCAGCGCATACTCAAACGATTCGGGGAAGATCACACAGGGAAGATGCGATGGAGGTACATAGGATGGGGAGGGGGCTGCGAAAAAGAAAGAAACAAAACAATATGAAGCAATAATTCGGTTGTTATCGCTAGCCGATTTGATGCCAATACCAACAAGACAATAGTAATTGGTTGCGGACAAAAATCGATGAGAAAACCACAAACAAAGCCGCTTGCTCCATCATTTGAACCAAGGCGTACGAGTCCGTCGTCTATTTGAAAACAATCACAGTCGGGTAGGAGGAATCTATATGGTCCATAAACTGTAACAGGTCGCTGAATATTACTAAAGTATGGTGGAAATTTAGCAACGGGCATTCCTAGAGGACGATCACGATCTTTTGGTGATATGGAGAAGCTTCACCGAATAACAATGGCTGCGAAAATTATGAAAACTTGTGCTAAGTCTAAAATTCGGCAACCACCCCTTCGCAGCCGAAGGAAGAATTGCATAGGGACTGTCCCTGGAGAGAGTACAGAAGCTGTTCATTTATCTAAACCTGGAATAATTAAACCTTACTGCGAAATCAGTCCGCCAAGTTTGTGCAAGAGGAAAAACCGATGCACCGAGTAACCACAGCTCGAAAATTAAATTCCAACCCAAAACTGCTTATAAACATATCAACTATACAAGGAAGATTGAATGCGGAATACAAACATTGAAATCATCTGGACATATTTCATACTACGCTGCAGGCGGCAGAGCACCTCAAAACCCAGTTCGATCAGATGTCTACTGCAACGACACAAAGCATTACAGATCCCAAGCAGACTCTCCTGTATACCATATCCGTCAATGGTTAATATGGCTTTTGACGGTGAAATGGTAAAGCAAAACTACTGACTTTGCGTTAGAATTCAACCCCAGGCGCAGACAATATGCATCCTCGGACTCTCATCTGACTAGCCAATGACATACCCGAACCTCTGGTTATTCTTTACCAAAGGATGTTCGACGAGGCGGTCATTCTACAGCGATGGAAGGAAGGTGTGATTTCACCAATTTACAAAAGGAGCTTTCACAGTAATCCCGACATCAACCGCCCTGTTACAATTTTTTCGATATTGTCGAGTCATACAGGCAACTGTGGCAGATCAGTGGATGGACTCTCTGGAGAAGGAGAACGTTTTGTTTTGCAAACAAATTGCCAAGCTCGGCGAACAGGCGAAATGGA